GTGACATGGTACTTTGGAAACTAGGCTGCTTTTGGAAGCTTTGGAAACTTGGCTTCTACCCTTTTTGTGTTAGTGTGGGAGAATTTGCAGATTTCTTTGTGAACATTTGCAAATTCCCAAAGCAATTGGTGCGTGATACAGAAGGTATATTTTGGTACTAGTTTTAGGTTCTAATTTTGTACTACTTTACATGCTTGGCTTACATCAAATTGTTTTTCTTTATGGTTTTCTTTTAACAAGTATGTCATTTAATAACTGGACTACAGTTGAATCTAAAATACTTTTTAGGGTAAACAAAGAGTAGTGTGGACGTACATGGTTGCCTGTTAGCTGTAATCCATATTTTTTATATCAGTTGCTATGTTTCCCTATCATTCCAGAAGAAATACATTTTAGGAAATTGTTATAGGAGGAAATTGTTTAGAGTTGGACAAAGTTCAACTCTGTAAACTCTGCTAGGTTTTTAAGGCGATATCTAGGCATCTAAGTGAAGGTGGCCTTATTTTCCCAAGGTTTTTTCTCTTACAGCTCCCACTGACTGTTAGCTGTACCTAGTTGTTAATTGTAGTTGCTCAATGTATGCTTTTTTAGACGTCTAATTCCACTTTCAGTGACTTAAGGCGATTTGTTTTTAAAGTATCAGGCTTTGAGGCAGCTTCTGATGTTTTCTATTAGGGAATTTTTGCTTAGTGCTGTAAAAATGTAATTGTTTAAGATGGATTCCCAAAGTTGGAGACAAAGCTAATCAGGGTACGGTGAGCAACGTCACCTCTTCACACATCATTCGAGTTAGAATAACTGCTGTCATTTATATGCATTCAATTAATGTGCAGTGCTGCAGCAGTTATTACGCAGTTCATCAAGCGTGTGTAATTAGCTGAGCAACTTTCACTTCCTATCACCCAGACGCTGATTCACAAAGTCATAAATAAAGATGCAGATCTCCATCATTGTTCTCAGAAAGCATCTTTTCCTATGAGAGGATGTTAAAAAAAAATAAATCGGAAAAATAAGAAAAATAAAGGGAGGGAGAGGCCAGTAGATGAGAAAGTCATATTTATTGTCCTGTGAGCCGGAAGGAGAGTAAAGAGAGAGTTATTTGAAATTCAGTAGGTACCTTTCCAGTTAAATTCATTGCACACACAGAACAATAAAAAGCAGCAGCAGCAGCCTACCTTTCCCGTTGACAAATGCAGAGGACTCCTGAATACCTTCAGCCTGGGCAGTTGTCATAGCTGTAGTAATCTCTGTTCTCTGAGTAACTCCTGCTCTACTCACCTGGATATAATTTAAGATTATCCTTGGTCTGGATTGCCCCCATACCTAGTAGTAAAAGGAATCCTGTTGTAGAATAAAGTTGCAATAGAGTCACAGAAGCTTAGCAGCAACAGCAGCTTGGAAATAGCATTGGCTTTCTGTGAGAAAGAGGAAAAGCCCAATTTTGTCTCTTTTACTGGATTTTTAGGTTGCAGTCGTTTTGTTACTTTTAGTGATGAAAATCACTGCAAAGAGAAAATAAGAAAATAAGGCAGACTTTTACACCATCATTTTAATTAATAAAGGATATATAAACTCAACGTGACTGAAGCAACAACCGTATGCTATCTTGTATATTGTTTGATTCTTTCTTATTACATGAAGAAGATTGAATTAGATAAATAAATTAATATCTATAGTTAATTGTCAGCTGAGGGACATGAGAAAATTTTGAAGAACAGAGACTAATCTGATGAAGATAGATGCAAAAATGAAAGGAATTCTGTCCATGAGTCATGCTAGAGATGGTAATGGGCGTTATAACCATGCCCAGCTTTTGTTGGATATGGATATGCACGCTGCAGAGACTATGGAATGATAGGCTGGAGCTGGGTGAAAAGGGATGAGACAATACGGCATGCTTTTTGATAAATATGGATGCCAATATTTCAGTATACTTCATCTTCAGTTTACTGATTCAAGAGATAAAAGAAAAATTATGTGTTTTCGTGTCCTTTGGTTCAGGTACATGAACATTAGAGCTTATAATTCTGTAATGGGTATGCATATAAGCAGAAACCTCTCAGTTTGCTAGGGCTGGTTTTAGAAAATCTGTGCAAAGGCATCTGATTAATTTTGTGTTGGGTTTTTTAGAGCTTAGACTCCATAATTCTAAATTTTAATAGAACCTAGGTTATATTGTGGACAACTCCATTTTACTGGCTGCTATTAATTCTATTGTTGTTTATGTGGTGGTATTTCCTGAATTTCCTGAAAAACTTTTGCATCATTTGCACTCTTTTACTTTATATTCAAAGCACAAATCTTTTATTTGTGATCCAGAATGACAGGGTAACTTCTTATCTTTTAGGAGGACTGTACATCCTGCTTTATTTTTAGTACTCTATATTAATAATTTCTTTGTATTGCAACAGTTTGCATCACGAATTTCCTACTTTAATGGCAACTACAAAAAAAAGAAACTTTGAAAATGCTCACAAATACAGCCACTAAGAGAAACCCCAAGTCTTGTGTGTTCTGCACTTGGGATGGTAGTATGCTCTTTCTTATAAACCTGTGCCTGAATGTGAAAATGTGGAGGTGTAGTTTTTGTAGGGAATGTGATAGATACTCACTGTCGTGGAACTAGACATATGCAGTTTTGGATGCATTAGTATTTGTAGGAGAATTGGAAGTAGAATAAGAAGTAACTTGATCCTTACTTTTATGTGGATAAGAAACCGCCCAACATCAGTGACTTCTTCACATGTGGATTCTGTTTCTTATTCTAGTCGGTGCAGTGAATAAATTTTAAATGCAAAGAATCATGATCTGAACTACCTCATTTGAGAGTGCAGGATTAGACAGCTCTATTAATATTTATGCCTCCTAATGGGCTACTTGATTTTCAGAGCAAAGCTCCCAACACCATACTTTCTGGGTTATGGCTCTGGTTACTATGGATGCGTAGGAACATATATACAAACATACAAATACATTATTGGAAATGAAACACAAATCACAATGCTATAATATCCTGCTTTGACCAGTCATTATTTTTGATAGAGAATATGTTACATCAGTTGTGATTTGTAAATGGCACAGATAACTTTAAGGCTTTTAGGCTTAGAAATATGAAATATTTTTTACAAACCTAAGCAGAAAAGAGTCCAATGTAGCCTGTTGCCCCATGTTTCTGTTGGGAATTAATGCAACATGTACAGTTCCCATGGACTTAATTAAATTAACTTTCTGTATACCTGTTTCAGCTCTGAAACCAACTTGAAAATGACAAGTTGAGACCTGTTAAAACGTGTATTTCCACTGGCAAAATTTGTCAGTTGATTATCAGATTCTTTTTTCTAAATATGTGATGTAGAAAATAATATCAAAGAAACAGGCTTGTAGATGGTATATTGTCAAAAATGATTGAAATATTCTTTCTGCATGGCAATATAAGTGAAAAGTATGAAATCTAAGGTGTGAGCTTCCATCACTGTAGACTGAGCTATGTCAAAATATGTTGCATTGCCAGTAGGCTGAATGCATGTGCTTGCAGACCATTCCCAGGGCTCCTGGTGAGCTGAGAGTGAGTGCCAAAGCCCACAGAGCTACCTTAGTGCATATTTTGGTGTATATAAACCCTTACAAAGGCTGTGTATCTTCATTAGCCACTTTGAAAATTCACAGTGAATTATTTGCCTGTAGTATATTTGTGTCAGTAGTTGCCTGCACACATTTGAAGTTTTGCCCCATTCACCCTTGCTGGCTGCTGGCTGAAGAGCCCTTGTCCTCATTCAGGCCTCGTGAGGCCAAAAGTCATCCCTGTGGTACCGGCAGGCACAAAT